TTAATTTACAATATTCGTGTTTGCTTGAGCTGCTTGGTTCCTGAAAGTCCTCTATTTCTTTGGGAATCCTCGACCAAGATCACTTCAACCTTTATCATCTGACGAAATGAATTTGTGAATGTCTGTTACGGAAAAAAGAAAAAGAATATGATTATATCTTTGCAAATGTCATATTTCAAGCTTTCGAATAAAATATCTTAAAATACCTCCACCACGATAAACGAATAATTAACACAATGAAAATCAAAATTGGTTGGAAACTAATGTGCAATTGAAAAAATGAAAATAGAAAGGAATAATAGTAATTAAAAATTTAAAATTAAATATAATCTGCAATTATTTTTTCAATATATTGCAAGATAAAACATACATGTATCATGAAATATAATATTTAATTAATGATTTTATTGTAAATTGGATAATCAAAGTTTATTTGCAAAATTTGCGATGAATAATACGAGATACACGGATTAACATTTTTTTTTATAAACAATATTTTCGCTTCGTGTTCTTTTGTTTCTCTGAGTGTACGTTCAATTTCAACTTTTTCGAAAAAATTTCAACTGCGAAAACCGATTCTTAATTTTATAGAATACACAAGCTGTTTTATAACTTTCATAATTTTTTAACTGTTCTTCAATTTTCATTTTTTCACCTGTCACAAGTAAATCATTCGCTATCAAAAAATTGAGATTTATCATTTTTGAAATTATACAAATTTCTTCATCTTCGTATGGACGTTTAATTTTATGAAATATTTTTTTTCAATTGACATAAAATAAATAAATATATTGATAAAAAATATTCTATCAAACGAAACATGCATATGTAATATGATAAATATAATATAAATATTTAATATATGTGTAAAAATATTAGAATACATATCTTGGTTTTCAAATTTTCTCGATTTTTCGTCCATATTTCTCCATATTTTTCCGCTGTTTATCTCTCAGATGCTCATCGATCTGCTGGCACAGCTTCGATCGTAAGTCAAGAATGCAGTCTAGCGAAATAGAGATAAACCTGTGACGATTGATCGCGAACGCTTTCGAGGGTTCTCGATGTCGTCCTTGACACCTGTCTCCTTTGTCTTCCATTCTGCCTATGCTCTCGTTTCGAACAACAGAAATTATATAACTTTTTTTTTTTATTATTATTATTTTAAAATTGTCTTTATTGTGCGACAAATTTATCACATCATATTATCATTTTTAATTAAAATCTACTTATACTTTAAATATTATATTCCATATTTTATTCTAAATTTATTTCAATTACATTTAAAAATAAATATTAATCATATTTATATTAGTTAATATTTATATATTTATATTATTCGGATAAAAATATTCATTTAATATTAAATTAAATATTCATCCAATCATTTAAAATTCAAAAGATTTCAGATTTTTTTATTATATAAATATTTTTATTACAATTATTTTTTTTTAAATAATAGCATATTAATTTTTTATTAATTATAGTAATAAAATTTATTTGAAATAATTTTTTTATATCAAGTATAATTAAAAATAATTATAAGAATATATATTCTAATAAAGCGAAAAAATTTATTACAATTATTCACAAAAATTACATCATACATTATATAATATAATTTTTTAATATAGTCCTGATTCATACAATATATATTAACATAGTCCTATTATATACGTAATTATATTCTTATTATATAATTCACACAAGAATAAAAAAAATTTTATATTATTTCCTGCGCAATTAACGAGGATCTGATGATTTCTACGCGAAAATGTTCTTTTCGGAAATTGGGAATTGCTTCCACGGAAACATAATAGAAAATATCATCGTATACGATTTCTCGAATCAATTCTTCCTCGACAATTTTGACTTTAGCAGAATAACAGAAAACGAATTTTTTACGCATAGGAAAATGTTGTAAAACATTTTTCTAATATATTCAATCTTATTTTATGGTTTGAAATCCTCTTTATATCGATTTTTAACCACTAGAATAAAAATTTGTACCACATATATTACTTAACCTTCAAATAGTTTAAGTACCAATTACTTATATTATAAATGTTAGATTCAATCCGTTCCTGAAGCTATGGAATATAATAATAAAATTATTACAAAATCTGTTATTGACAAGTTTAATTCACTAGATGATCAAAGATCAAAGTCCATATACCAATAACGTTCTACTGTCATTAAAGTTCGAAGTTCAAAGACTTGTATTCTTCTTGTTATGATAATTTTTCCGATAGTAGTTTCGATGTTTTTGTAGTCCTGATTTTATAATTCTGAAGTTCTTGTGGTTCTGATTTTGTGATTCTTCCTTCTTGAAGTTTTTGCAAGCTTTTAAGGATTCTCCCTCAGACTGGTACCCTCTGAAGTCCCTGCCATGTTCCATTTGTGAATTTGCGGATCTTCAATAGAGGTGCAAAAGTATCCAATAACGTTGAGAACTAACCTCCTGATTGAGCGGTACTCCAAATCATAGAAAGTTCTCTAGAATGAGTTCAAAGACTATGCCATTGACAAATCCGTTATTTTCCCAAAAATGTTCTGCACATGTTTGCATTTTTTTTCAGATAGAATAATTTAATTGCCGATACATAGCTATAAAAGTCGTCTCAGATAATAAGATAGAATATAAAAGAATATTAATATTTCAACTATGGTGAATTGTTTCTAAATATAGAAGGCAAATAGTCAATAAATTTTTTCTTAAAAAACGGTATTGTCTTTGCAGTATTATCCTAAGTTATCTATGCATATATGTCTGGATACCATCTGTTCATTGTCTGATTGATGTCTTGAATAATAAATTTAATTCTTTCTTTAAAAATTTAATGAAAAAGAAAGAGAGAAAAAAAAGAGATTATTTTTATATAAATTTTATTATGCGTTAAATTGTTATTTTATTAAATAAAATATTTTATTCTAAATATTTTGTTTTTATTATTTCTCATTTATTTTCTAATTTTCCTTTATTATCAAAATATTTATTATATTTCTTAAATATTTTTTAATTAAGTATTTTTTTTAATTAAGTATTTTTTTTTATATTAAAAAAAATATTTTTATATAGAAATTTCATCCACTGAAAATCCTACAAAGTGAATCGTTTTAATTTAATTTAGATTTATAAACACATATTGAACTTGATCTATTGCTAGTTTTAACCTATAAATTTTTAAGTAAAAAGAATTTCCGAAAAGCGAAATCCAACATTCTGTACAAAAAAAAAAAAAAAAAAA